TCCTTTAAGATTATAAGGAGGAGGTGAGTTAATTTATGTGAATTACTTCTTGCCTAGTAAAACCCTCCATAAGTATTAGCTGCTATAATTATTGTTACTTCTATTTTTAACTCCTTAACACACTATTCTTTATATGATAGACCATGAAACAAATTTTTCTTAGTCTCATTATCAAGAACTGTAGTTCTGCTTTTTTGGTGTCAATGCTGTAGAATTAAAGCTTATTAATATATAACATTTTTAAAATGTCAGTTTTTTTTGTGTTAGAAATTACATTAGATTCACATTTTAGATTCTTTTTATAGTATATATTTTATGGGTCATCTTTACCTTTCTTAGTTTCATCTTCTCTTGTTTAGCTTAAGAATTTGTTTTAAATTTTATAATGTATTATACATATTTTTGGAAGCCAGCTTGCTTCTGAAAGTCTTTGGGGTTCATAAATATGGTGGAAAGGTGTATTTTTTAATCTAGTTGAGGTCATAGTTTGTATATACTTCAATATTATAATTTTGCTATAATCATTGACATTTTCTGCCAGAAAAATTATATATGCTTTATAATATAAAATTTTACTTTCGTATCAAACATTCATATTTAGAGAGGTAGCTGAAATTTCTTTATTCACTAAAAATTTAGTATATTCATTTGTTTTTCTGAATGATACTGTATCTTAGAAAACAAATTCTAATCTTATTCAAGTCACTGATCACACAACCACTTTTTGGAGCTATTTATCAAACTACCTTCCTATATCCAGGTTTCCCAAGGGAATCTCAGAAAAATTAATGCATGGCATTCAGAGGTCCTAAAAGTATTTATAATTGCTTTAGAGCTCAAGTCTACATTCTGGTACATTTTGTGCTGTTATGCTTCTTCTCATTGTAATAGGATATTTTTATTTTTAGTAGGGTTTCTCTATTGCAAATCAAAAGAGCAAAATTCATAATGACACAGAATCTTAAGACATATATAGATGTTTTCCAGGGATCTGAATGAAGGGGTGAGGTGTTTAAGGTTAGACAATAGTGTTCTAAAGGAACTAGTTTTCATGTCCTGTTATTTTTAAATTTTTAAGGAAACACAGAAAGAGGAAATGGTTTGGCCTCTTACGATATCATTAGTGCTATTTTTATTCTCTTAAGTTCAAAGGTTTTAAGAATAAGAAAAATATATGCAAAAATTGGGACGTTCGTTGTTCTTGATTTTTATTAGTGTGCTTTCAAAATGCTCATGTGGAATAAGCATATTTTTTAAAATTTTGTTTTTGCACTTGGTTTATGGATATATGCACAACCAGAATATGTAAGCTTTATGATATGTGTGTAAGCAAGAAGAATAAGGAAATGACATATTTTCTAACAATTCCATGTTGCCATATGTTTTAAAATAAATAAAGATATTAAAACAGCTTCATGATACTAAGCCCAAAAGCTGTAGACAGAAACACTTGAAAAAGCTGTTACTCTGTTTTAAAAATTAACTTAATATTGAGATCATGTTACTGACCCATTTCAGAGTGTTCTGAAAAAATTTTGTTCATTAAGCTTGATTAGGTTCACTTCTGTGAAAATTCAGTTTTACTTTACAGTGGAAAATAACTCACAATTGAAAATAATTTCTTATTATAACTAATATTATGGAAAGTGGGGGAAATTATCTTTTTAAGAAAAAGCTGGAATTCTATCTTTTCTCTCAATCCTCTCTCTTTCTCTAGGATCTTAATTATGAAAACCAACTACTTTTATTAAAGAGAATAATTTCTTCCCCTTTAGAGTTTTTTTTTTTTTTAAATTTCAGTACACAGATACATTAGAAATGAAGAATGGCTCTTTTTCTCATAATAGCATGCAGAGACTCGACAGGATAAAACTGGGCTGAACTCGTCTTTTAAGAAATGCCAGGTGTTTTCTGTTCTCTACTCCTTTGAAGATTGAAGAAAGGGAGAATTTTTCTGGTCTGCTGTTGTGGTTGGCATTAGTAACTGAACTTTGTGGATCTGTTACTGCTTGTTGTGTAGCAGCAAGTCATTAATTTCAGTTTACTTCAGTCAGGAAAAGGCTGGCAGCTGCTAGGTTGGAAAAAAGGAGCGCTTCGCACTGGTTGTCTTTCTCATGATCTTTATTAGTAAATGTTTACTCGTTTGAGTGAGGCAAGTATTGTAGACATTGTATGAATTAGCAAAATATGAATCATTCATGACTACAAAGTGAAGTTGTGCTTTTTGTATCTCCCACAGAACAGTGATAAAGGATGTGTTGGTGTGAGAGTGAGGAATTTTCTGTCAAAATTAAAAAGAAAAAAAATGTTACCAGTTGCTAGCCTCAGTTCCACTGGAGTCTAAACCTCTAATGCCACAGTCACATCCTTCATCTCCTCTTCCCGGGCCCACACGAGAGACTCAGGAGTGGGGTCAGCATACCCTCTGTGTTCAGTATGAAGCTGAGGTTTTTCACAGTTAATCCCCAAGCATTTCTTTAACAATATGGTACCAGTGGGATACCTTCTTCACGTTACCTTCTTTCTGAATACTTACGAGCATGCATGCTCAGTCACTGCAGTTGTGTCTGACTCTCTGTGACCCCATGGACTGTAGCCCTTCATGCTCCTCTTTCCATGGGATTCTCCAGGCAAGAACACTGGAGTGAGTTGCCATGCCCTCCTCCAGGGGCTGTTCACCACCCAGGGATCGAACCCGCTTCTCTTAGCATCTCCTGCTTTGGCAGGCACGTTTTTTTTCCACTAGCGCCACCTGGGAAGCCCCAGAGAAGGCCGCTTATTGCCTATAGAGATGCCTAAAGGAAATTGGGCTTCCCTGGTGGCTCAGATGGTAAAGAATCTGCCCAGAATGTGGGAGACCTGAGTTCAATCCCTGGGTTGGGAAGATCCCCTGGAGGAGGGCATAGCAGCCCACTCCAGTATTCTTGCCTGGAGAATTCCATGGACAAAGGAGCCTAGCGGGCTACAGTCCATGGGGTTGCAAAAGTCCTCGCGGACACAGAGCACAAAGAAAATAAAGCCCATTCTTTCCTTTTTTCCTTCATTTCCCCCCACCTTTTAATTTATATTCTTTTGTTATACATTTTATATGTTGTGCTGTACTTAGTTGCTCAGTTGTGTCTGACTGTTCTCTTTTGCTGCTTCTTCCCATATCTAGAATCACACTATTACAGTCATTGGTTTTATAGAACTATATATTTGATCAATCGTATCAAGGCTCCTAATATCATTAATTTTATCTGAGGCTTAGTCACAGATTTGGCCATGCAAGAAGCAATAATCTCGTAAAATAGAGTGTAAGAAATATAGCTAGTAACATGAATGCAGTCATTACATTAGTAAGTATTTAAACCAAGAACTTCTATTAGGTGTGGCCCAGTATCTCCTTAGTCTGTTTTGCACCAATCACTGTCTTTAAGGAAAATTATATCTTGGCTTTGTACCTAAATACACCAGAGATGTCTGTACATACAAGGTGAGTAGTGGGTCATTGGAACCCCTTAGAGGATTTAGGAGGGAATGCTATTTTCTGAGAAGTTACATGGATGGTCCCAGAAGAAGGAAAATTGATTGTTATGATTGAATAGGCCTTTCTGCCATTAGGGAAGTCTGGTTAATGCATAAAGTGGTTGCAAAATGCTCACTAGAGGGGAGGGAGGAGACCCAAACAGGGAGAGAAAAAGTTTATGTTTAAATTTTTCTTTTTTTGCCTAAAAAATGTGAATTTTTATTTTATCAGCTTGAATATTATTGTTCCTCAAGTGTTGTTGATTCCATATAAGCTGATTTATACTTTCTAAGTCAGTACTTTTTGATAATGAGGAAATTGATGGTCAAGACATTTCAATCTAGATTTCAATACACATTTTTTTGCTGTTATGAATAGAAACAAATTCATTCATTTTCTGTCATCTTGAAACTAGAGTTGGATATCAAAGAATTTACAAAAGCTTTTAAATTTTTGAATAAGATTGACTGTAAATGTTTAGCTTTGTTTGATATAAATGACACAGAACTTATCTGAAGCCGATAATAGAAAGGGCTTCCATGGTGGCTCAGATGGTAAAGAATCAGCTAGCAATGCAGGAGACCTGGATTCAATCCCTGAGTTGGAAAGATTCCCCTGGAGAAGGGAATGGCTACCCACTCCAGTATTCTTGCCTGGAGAATCCCTTGGACACAGGAGCCTGGAGGGCTACAGTCCATGCGGTCACAAAGAGTCGGACACGACTGTGCGCACACAGTAACACAAAAGAAAATGTTACCTTCAATGTTAACACATGTAAGAAGAAAATGTTCATATTATCACACCCAAATTATTTTATAGAAGGTAGATATTTTATGCCACTACTATTAATAGTTTGCTTAGACCAGACACACTGTTTTAACACTAGCACATTGTGTTTGCTTGGAAGCGCTCTGCTATTGTTTGTCAGTTCCTGTTCCTCATCTGATGACTCTTCTCCTCAATTTCCTCCATTTCCAAGTCTCTTTAAATGTGAGTCACTGAGGTGATTCCTAGCATGGCTTTTCAGGAAAACTCAACTGCCAAAAAATGCACATCATTAATAAAGCATCTCCTCCCAGTGAGTTTGTATGGCCTCTGATTCTTAAAAAGGAAGTCATACATTTTGGCCCTTTCACAAGGAAAGCTGATTGAGTAAAATTCTATTGAAGTTCTGTAGAAGTTAAATGCCATCATCTGTGTAAGTACCAAGTGAACATTTCAAAAGAAGAGGAAAATTCTAAATAAAAACGAGGAAAAAAAGAAAAAAAAGCCCTCACTATATTATGTGGATGAGTAATAGGAAAAAAATTCAAATAACCAATTTGAAAAAAATTCAAATCTTTCTCTTTGATGGATTGGAGAAGATGACTTCCCAGTTGTCATATAGAATATTACGTTCAGAGAGAGGTAACTCTAAGGCTAAATAAGCTATCGTCCATGTCTTAAACATTAATTCTGCATTTTCTCCGGTGGGTGTTGGGACCGGTTTCAGGATATGACAGCGCGTGATCTGCTGCAGCAGAGGTACACGCTTCCAAACGGAGACACTGCCTGGCGGTCCTCACCCCTTGTAAACGCTGCGCTGGAAGGAAAGCTGGTTCTCTTGGATGGCATTCACAGAGTCAATGCGGGGACGCTTGCCGTGTTACAGAGGTCGGTTATGAGTCACAGAAGCACACCACGGAAACAGTGGACGTGGAGCTTTCTCAGCCTTCTGACCTAAACTGGCTTACATAATTCTCCAGGAACTTATAATTCTATATCCAAGTATAACAGCAGATGTGTTTATTGTTGGTAACACAGTAGAGTAGAACTTCGAGTAATGAACATTTTGGGAAAAGCCAGTGCCATAGCAAAATTCTCTGTGTAGGAGCTGAAAAAGGCAAATTTTTCAGTAGTAGTTTTGCGACTTTATCTGTATGTTGATTGATCTATGCAGTAAGTCACACAGTTGAAGTTTCTATAGTATGTCAGAGTCAAAGCTTCACTGTTTACAAACTCCTTTTTCAGTCCTAGATCTACATTATTGGTTGATACATTCTTCGAATTTGTTTTTGAGAGAGAAAATATAGTTCCTTATGTAAAATGTATAATGGCTCTTTGCTTATATTTTATATAGGGTAAAGTTCACTTTGTGTTTACAGACTTGAACATTTGTGTCAACTGTGTTTTTTATTTCAGCTTAGGTGGGGCAAATCTCCACCCATTCATAGTTAACTTCTCTTTAATGTTAAGGCTGCGTGTGTAACTTTGATGGAACATAGTCCCATCTTGTGTCACTTTGGGAGATTAATGATACTATTTTAGTTTGTTTGTTACATCTTGATTCTATCACTTGTTTTTAACTTTTAACTCTACATTTTAACTTGTTGGGAAATCTCAAATAAGTGGAATAATCTAGTTCCCTAACTAAGTAGTCAAAGTTTTTTTTTTTTGTCCTTGATGAGATGCAGGTACTGAGTATAATTAAAGATTCTAAAAACACTGTTAATCCTGATTCAGCTTGAGAACGTTTAAAAGTCATAACCACAACCTTCCAGTGATTTATCATAAACATTCCATATATTTACAGTTTTTCCCTCTTCTAAACAGACAAATGCAAACACAAATGAAATAGTGCCTGCTGCCTCCTTTTATTAGCTCTTTCTTGCCCATGTGGCCAAGTAGTCGTTAACAGCAGCAGCAGCTCCCATTGAGTTCTTAATCTGTGCAAGGCCTTGTGCTAAGCCAGGGTTTCTCAGAGTCTCAACTATGGAATCTCCTTATGGGAGTGAGGCTTAGAAATGACTGATGCCTGGGCTCCACCTCCTCAAATTCTGGTATAATTGATCCAGGGTGAGACCTGAACATTGGCGTTTTTAACCTCCTCCCAGTAGATTCTAATGTGTACCTAAGACTGAGAACAACTATGTTCAGCATCTACCTTACATTAGTTATTTAATTTTCACAGCAATACTGTGAGGTTGGTGTTACTGCCCTAATTTTATACAAGGTAAAATTTTAGACAGGTGGGTCTGTTCTCTCCCCGCCAGTCACTCAGCGGGTAGGCGCAGGGCTGGGCCTCGCGCCCACACCGGAGCGGGAGTCTGTGGGGCAGTCCCGTCCCCCCAGTCACTCAGCGGGTAGGCGCAGGGCTGGGCCTCGCGCCCACGCGGGAGCGGGAGTCTGTGGGGCAGTCCTGTCCCCCCAGTCACTCAGCGGGTAGACGCAGGGCTGGGACTCGCGCCCTCACCGGAGCGGGAGTCTGTGGGGCAGTCCTGTCCCCCCAGTCACTCAGCGGGTAGACGCAGGGCTGGGCCTCGCGCCCACGCGGGAGCGGGAGTGTGTGGGGCAGTCCCGTCCCCCCAGTCACTCAGTGGGTAGGCGCAGGGCTGGGCCTCGCGCCCACGCCGGAGCGACCCCACTGCCCACGTTGCTGCCCCTGCAGTGTGCAGTCCCCCCTCCCCTCAGTGTTCTCTGATCGGGAGTCTGTGGGGCAGTTGCACAGTGGACATCAGGAAACCTCAGTGGCTGGTGTAGGATCTAGAACAGCACTCTTTAACCTCTGCAGCATCTGGAAGATGCTATTTGTACTGTGAATGGCTAGGTTCCATCATAGTTGGTATCTGAAATAGCACTGGCTATTTCCTTGTAAAGATTTTAGATATTCTAAATCCTGTCATTGCAAAGATAGAACTATTTTGATGATACTGTGCCTTAAAGTGTTACCTTAGACTCAAGGGAGTATGTGTCAGTTGCTTCATTCATTAATATTTACCTCGTGGTTATCCTGAATCACTCATTCAGCTGTTGCTTTTCATTTCCCTCCTCTGTCCCTTTTCCAGCTCCTTCTCCTCCACATCCTCCCTGTTCACATCTAGTAACTGTGACTACTGCCCTCCAACACAGAAACCAACTGTTTTTGCCAAGTATAATGGCACTAGCCAACCTAAAATATCAAAAAGTGCATTTAACAAAATAGTTAGACTCAATTGTCAGTAATAATAAAAATGACTAGAATATTAACTGACTGATGGTACTTCTAATAGCTTCAACATTTAAACTGATTTGTTTCCTGGCCTTCTCCTGTCCATTAGGCTGATCCATGATCGGGAGCTAAGCCTCTATGATGGCTCTAGGCTGCTGAGAGAAGACAGGTATATGCGCTTGAAGGAGGAGCTGCAAATGTCTGATGAGCAGCTACAGCAGAGGTAATTGGGGGTACACTACTCTTATTCTTATTATCAAGTGCATGTGTTTAAAAATTATTCTTCTAAACCTAGGCTCAAGTCAAGATCACTTGGAACGGCTTAATAATTTGGTGTCCTAGACAAGATCTTATTTGCACACTTTTTAAGACTTGAGTTTGCTCTCCAAGAGGTGCTCTGTAGGGCTTACCTGGTGGCTCAGGCAGTAAAGAATCTGCCTGCAATGCAGGAGACCCAGGTTTGATTCCTGTGTTGGGAAGATCCCCTGGAGAAGGAAATGGCAACCCACTCCAGTATTATTGCCTGGAGTATCTCATGTGCAGAGGAACCTGGTAGGGTCGTCGCAAAGAGTTGGACATGACTTAGCAGCTAACACATGTATTCTGTACTTTCAGCCTACGTTTATGTAAGTGTTTAAACATTTTATGAGAGCATTAGCTTTAAGAGGATAATCCCTCTTCTGTTTTCCAAGCAGTTCAATTTTGGTCCTAAATTTTGTTATCATTTTGGAAAAAAACAAAAAGCCCCTCACTGTTAACTGTGCCTACCCTCCAAGAAAGTGATCCATTATTTCTGAGGTTCGTCACCTGATGCAGGAGTGCCCTTTGTTTCTGTTTAAACATTTCTTCCAGAACTGCGGCAACCAAATTCAGTGTATTGGATTCTGGATTAGGAAATCAAACGAAAATAGCTATGAAAGATATTTTGGGATGATTGAGAAAGTTTACACGTTATTCAATTAATGTCAGTTTTCTTAGGTTTCATAATGGCATTATGTTTATGAAGGTGTTAACCTAAAACAAATAGACCTCCAGTTGTTTCTCCAACAAAAATGGGTTTATGTAAGGGGTCTCTAACCATGGGGAGCTACATGCAGGTCCTTATGCAACAAGAAGAAGAGGAAGGACTCATCTAAAAGGGAAAAAGAAAGTCTGAAGAACTATAATGAACAGAGTCCATTGGTGGAATTGAGGGTTGGAAATGCAGTGTCTTTTCATCCTATTCCTAGCAGCCTAAAAGTCTCTCACTGGCTGAGCTCTTGCCAGGCATGAAAAGGAAGGTCTTCTTCCTGCTGACCCTGCTGTTGTAAAGCAAGGTCTTCCTGCTGACCCTGCTATTGTCTGTCACAGCGCATGAGAGCTCCCTCTTCTGGCTTCCTGACTTCCTAATTGAGCTTTCTGTTTATTGATTTTTTACAAAGAATATTTCTATTCCTAGGAGCCATATTCTGAAATATTTAAGGGATAATGTAAAAAGATGCCTTCAACTTACTTCCAAACGTTTCAGGGTAAAAAAAAGATATGACGAATGGACTCAAATGTACCACATAGAAATAATGAGCAAGGGAGAGCAAGAACACAAAGTGGTAAAATCTTAACAATTGTTGAAATGTAGGTGAAGGATATTTGGGTGTTCACATTCTATTCTTTCAAATATCCTATGGGTTTGAAATTTTTTTAAATTTATTTTTTAATTGGAGGAAATTGTGTTGGTTTCTGCTGTACAACAATGTGAATCAGCCATGAAGAAGTGAAGTGAAGTCGCTCAGTCCTGTCCAACTCTTTGCAACTGTAGCCTACCACGCTCTTCCTTCCATGGGATTTTCTAGGCAAGAGTACTGGAGTGGGTTGCCATTGCCTGCGCCAGAGGATCTTCCCAACCCAGGGGTTGAACGCGGGTCTCCCGCACTGTAGGCAGAAGCTTTACCGTCTCAGCCACCAGGGAAGCCTGAATCAGCCGTAATGATACACGTGTCCCCTCCCTGTTGAGCCTCCCTCCCACTCAGCCCCATCCCACCCATCTAGGTCATCACAGACCACCAGACTGGGCTCCCTGTATTATAGCAACTTCTCACCAGCTATCTGTTTTACATGTGATAGTGTGTATATATTGATGCTACTTTCTCCTTTTGTCCCATTCTCTCCTTGCCCCACTGTGTCCACCAATTCTGTACATCTGCATCTCCATTCCTTCCCGGCAAATAGGTTCATCAATACCATTTTTCTAGATTTCATGTACGTGCATTAATACATGATGTTTGTTTCTGTCTTTCTGACTTCAATCTATGTAATAGGCTCTAGGTTCATCCACCTCACTAGAACTGACTCAAATTTCTTTTTTATGGCTGAGTAATATTCCACTGTATATATGTACCACATCTTCTTTATCCATTCATCTGTAGATGGACATCTAAGGTTGTTTCCATTCTTCGCTATTGTAAATAGTGCTGCAGTCAACAATGGGGTACATGTGTCTTTTAGAATTGTGGCTGTCTCAGGGTATGTGCCCAGTAGTGGGGTTACTGGGTCATATGGTAGATTTACTCCTAGTTTTTTAAGGAATCTTCATACCGTTCTCCATAACGGCTGTATCAGTGTACATTCCCAACAGTGGTGTAGAGGGTTTCCTTTTGTCCACATCCTTACCAGCATTTATTGTTTGTAGATGAGATTGGTTGTCCTCACTGATCGTGAGGGGCAGCCTGCTCCCCACTATACCCAGGGTTCATGCCTAGCTCCCTAAAATCTTCAAATTAAGAAGTTTCAAAGAAAATATTTCTTTCAGCTGCACACTATGCTTTCCTTTAGAAGATATCTGGCAATTATAAGTAATTTTCTACCTCATTGCATTTCCATGGATATCGTCACATAATTAGAGATTATTATTAGTACTTTGGGGAATTTCCAGTCACTTAATTGAATCTTACTTGATTGAAGCCACTCCTTCCCCTAAAGGACTTGCTGCCATATTTAAAACAATGAAATCCAGCAAATGGTAATTATGTGTGTTTCTTACTGTGTTTATGTTTTATCCTTGGAATTTTTTCATAGAGAGAAAATATTTAATCTTATTATCTCTGTAAAAATTCGCTTGATTACACAGCTATTGCCTATCATCAGATCCTTCTAGCCCAGTAAGTGGTTTGGTCGAGTGTTTAGGGAAGCAAATTATAAAGAGCCCTCTCATATCATACCTTGAGCTTATGACATTCAACTACTGTACCTTATTTGCATGTGACTCACTTGTCAGGGAACCGTTGCATTTTCAGGGAGATGAATCAGAGCAGCTGGGCAACAGCTCCCAGCAGGACTGCCCATTGTGTTTCCCTCAGGACTTGAGGAGCATTGTCTTCTTGCCAAATGTCCAGGAAATGGCAGCCCTTTTCGATGAAAGGAACCCAAGTTCTCCCTCATGGCCACAAACAGTTTTACAAATGAAAACATTCTCAGGAACGAAGTGGCCCCAGGCTTCACATCAGGATTTGACTCAGACTGGTTGGTAGTGCTTTTTCCCCAAAGCATCCTGTCTTCATCACTCTTGATTTTTATCATTCCCATGAATGAAACCAGGCTCAGTTCTGTCTCCAGAAGTCACTCTGAGACCGGTGGAGACAGATCATAGCACTGCTTATTTCCTTCACTTATTTAAAAAATTTTTGTTTTTTAAAAAAATTATTGTTAAATATGCATAAAACTTGAGCCAGACAGTTTTTCAAAGCTTTTATGGAAAAATACCAGTCCTCTGTTATGTGTCCTGGGACACTTTCCTGTTGCCTATTCCTCAGAGCCTACCACTTTCAACTCAGCTGTTTCTTTTGATATTTACCTCCATATCACTAAATAATATGCTTTTATTGATATTTCTTGATTTATTTTTCAGTGTTGGGCACTGCCCATTGATTTCCTACTATGGAAAATTACAGTTTAGATTTCATCCACCATCCTTTTTCCCACTGCACATGCATACTTCCTATCTCCCATTCTTCCTAAATATTAGGTCATAATTTTGTTTAGAACTTCATTCAGTGTTTGCATTATTATGATGGCACAGGACTGTACACTGCTGACTCATTCAGTAGACTACAGTTATTTTTCTCTTTTTATGTATGGTCTATTTTTCCCAAACTTAGTAATTGCCTACATGTGAAGAGCAGCAGACATATAAATAAAAAATTAAAATGCAGCTTTTAAATATTACAATAAAGATCTCTACATAATGCTGTGGGAACACAGATAAAGAAGTTACCTTCTTTTCTTTTTTTCTTGTTCAGTTCAGTTCAGTTGCTTAGTCATGTCTGACTCTTTGCGACACCATGGACTGCAGCACGCCAGGCTTCCCTGTCTATCACCAACTCCCGGAGCTTGCTCAAACTCATGTCCATCGAGTCAGTGATGCCATCTAACCATCTCATCCTCTGTCATCCGCTTCTCCTCCTGCCCTCAATCTTTCCCAGCATCAGGGTCTTTTCAAATGAGTCAGTTCTTTGCATTAAGTGGCCAAAGTATTGGAGTTTCAGCTGCAGCATCAGTCCTTCCAATGAACACTCAGGACTTATTTCCTTTAGGATGGACTGGTTGGATCTCTTGTTACCTCACAGAAACTTATTAGTGAAGGCGAGTTTCTTTAAAAAGTTGGCAAATATGAATTTATACTTTGTTTGCACCAAAAAAATAAGTTTTCCAATTTGGCTTCACTTTATTTTTAAGACAACTAGTAAGTATCCAGTTATTATACAAATATTTTTGTGTGTGAGTGTGTATGTGTGTTAATTTGTAATATTATTTTCAGGTGTACAACATGGTGATTCAGTATTTCTATAGATTGTAGAATGTATCTTTGTAGCTTACTTTATACATAGTAGTTTGTACATCTTAATCTTCTGTTTCTGTCTTGCTCCTCTCCGCTTCTCTCCCGGCTGGTAACTACTAGTTTGTTCCCTGTGTCTGTTGTATTCCTTTGTTCCTTTGTTTTGTGTGTTTGTTTTAGATTGCACAAGTGAAAACATATCGTATTTGTCTTTGTCTAACTTATTGCACTTAGCGTAATATTGTCTAGATTCATTCACATTGCTGCAAATGGCAGTATTTCATTCTTTTTACACAGAGTAATATTCTGGTATATACGGGTCACATCTTCTGTATCCGTTTATCTGTTGATGAGCACTTAGGGTGTTTCCATATTGCATCTACTGTAATGTTGCTGTGAACATCGAGGTACATATA